AGCTCTTCATACCTCAGCTGGGTATGGTTAGGCTTTAGATGGGCTGTTGTAATGCTTTACCTTTTTGCCCTCATAATTTTGACAAGAAAAAGCACCTCAGACCTGTAAAACCATCCTGATTAAATTTTAATAAATTCAAAAACAATGGAATGTTTTTGTTTCACTGAAAAGGTACGACTATTTCCATTTAAAATTATGCCTTTCTGTAAAGGCTCTGGACAGCAACAATTTGCTTCCTCCTAGTAAAATTACTCCTCCAGATTGACTTGGATAGGCCTAGGTCTTTATTGCAGAAATTTTTAAACCCCATGCATGCCAAGATCTCTGTGCCCTTGTGCCTATCATCCTGATGAGACAAATAAGGACCACAGGAATTTTTCCACTGTTATCTAATGCCTGAGAAGGGCTTGGGGATATAGCGCTAAAAGAACAAGAACCCAAGGTAATGCTGGGAAAGGGGCAGCCACTGTGTCCCTGTTACAACTCATTTGTCCTGGAACAAGTCACTCGACATACTGGAACAAATGATTAAACATCCCATTTATAAGCATTGAGAGTATAATAATTGAGTAAAGGAAAAAAAAAAAGCAATGTACTTTTGGAAAACGCATCTCATGCCACCCAGCCTCATTTCCCTTTCTTTTGGTAGGATAGCTGGCATAACAGATAATGCAGAAGCAGTATGTGAGATTATATGATGTATCTTGACTTCCAAACACCTGAGAGTCTTCAACAAGCTGAGAGAATACGGTGGATATTAAATCTCCATCAGGATGCTTCAAAGATCTGCAATCAACAGATTGTTCTCCACCAGGGATGGAGGGTTTAGTGGGCTGCTGCCACAGTTTGCTTTTGTGTCCTGATCTCTTCAATACTTTAATTAATACCTTCATGATGGAACAGAAACAAGGCATCTGACTTTTGTCGATGAAACTAAGTTGGGGGCAGTTGCAAGTGCTTTGGAGCCCAGGATCATAAGTAAACTGAAGTGGTCTCCATGGAGAGAGGAACCAGATGGCATCCAATAGCAGCAAGCACAAAGCAGTATTCTCAGGAAGGGGGGAAAAACAATTAAAGTTCAAATGCAAAAGTGAAGAATGAGCTGCAGACCAGTAAGAGAGGATTAGAAAGACAGAAAGACTAAATAAGTGAAAGCAGTGGGGCACTCATATGAAAAAGGTAAATCTCATTTCATTCTGGAGTTAGGTAAGTGAAGTGTGATATGCAAAACACAGCTGGTATTTGTATCTGCATGATTGAATCCTAAACTGGAACTCGTTTTTGTTTTGGACAGTACATTTAAGGAAAATATGCAGACAAATCAAACAGTAGTGAAATATATGTGCCACAGGGGTTGAAAAAATATGACCGCTGGAAAGTAGTGAGGCTGTTAAGCTTCACTAGAGATCTCTGAGACACAGGCATTAAAGGGATTCAGGCAAATATAAGGTAGTTTTGAGGAAGACAAGAAATAAACACTATGTGTCTTGGAAGGACCAGAAATAATTGGCAGCAAAATCAATTTGGATCATATGTTAATAAAAGCTTTCCAAATGCACGGAGAGTGAAATAATGGACATGCATCAGCTATGCAGGCTTCAAAAAATATATGTATGGGGCAGCCACTGTAGAGCTGATCTTGTCTCACTGTATGGGGAAGGACCAGACAATCTCTTGCAGGTCTTTCAAGTGTTTACTCTTTTGATCAGACAGTAGAAATAAAACAGAAAGCTTTGCAACTGGCCATTGTACCCAAATTGAAGCAGTACAAAATGCTTTGAGTGAGGTGGTGGCTCAGAGCAGTCTTGGTGCGTTCACCCCAGTGGAGAGAGCACCTGGTAGCAACTGAGCTGGGCAGCGACAGCCACCTCCAGTCCAGAGGACTGAAATCAGTGTTGCCTACCTGGATCGGAAAGATGGAAGATATGGCTGCAGCTGTATTAATGAATCTTTTGGCAGCAAATGCCTACTTCTAGCCGAGCTGGCCTTATGTTTCAAATGCTGGAAAGACTTATGAGGACAAGTTTTTCTACTTTTAGCTGTCCATGAAGTTCTGTTTTTTTTTCCTAAAGTGTAATTTCATTACACCCCTTTTAGACCTCTGCAACGTGCCCAGTTGAAAGGGATCTTCTCCATGGACGTGCACACTTAAGAGAGGAAAGAAATAGACCGAGTAGGCTGTTTTTGCAGAGATTGGTGCTGGCTGACAAAGTAAAACTGGTTCTTCCCATGGAAATACTAAAGGACTTGGGCACACACATTGGAGAGGTGATGTCCCTTTTTCTGTGATATACTTTTGCAGGTCTGACCAGTGGAGTTCACCAAGCAGAGCTCACCCCAGGGAAAGCTGATTTTCTCAAGGCTGAAAAGACCTGGTCCTAGAATGCAACTCCATTAGACTGAAGTGATCTAAACACAGCGAACACTCAGGATACAGTGAAGCCTGCCTACTTCAGCTGGCATTGCGGACATGAAGTGGTCTCCAGTTTTAAGTGCTCCAATAGCACTCTAGGATCTGCCTACCTACTTATTAGTCTCTGATATAGCTATTCCATTTGTGTCTAGGGGTAATAGAAGTCGTGTTCTCACAGGGGCTAGACAGATGAGGGAGTTGAACTGGGAGATATTAAGGATTTGTCTTTGGTAGTGGGATGCAGAAATATCTGTGACAATACTGAGTGAGCAGAATAGGAAACCTGGAGATGGCCCTAAACCAACCCATTGTTTCCAGGGCGGGAGCAGCTGTCATTGCAGTATCTTTCACTGGCAAATCCAGGCATCAACTATGCACACAAAACTAGCAATGAGTCTCTGATTCTAGTTTGTTTTTGTTTCCCTGAGTTTGTTCAAAGGAGATCACTGACCATCATTCTAGAAATTCTCCTCCCAGATTACCAGGCAAAACAATTGACCGCTCTGTCATTTAATATTTCAGGATCTGTATTTTATTTTATTTTATTTATTTATTTTTACATTTGGGATGCTCAGAGCTTCAAATGGCCTATGTTTTGAAATGCATGAACACAAACACAAGAGAGGTAAATAAAATAAAAGGCAAATAAATAAAACTAAATAGTTTAGCATGACTCAATATCCAAACCCCTTTAATTTGTACTAGCAGACTATTTTTCAGACAGACAACCTGCAAATCCTAGAAAAACAGCAATCAATATAAGAAAATAATGCTCTGAGACTACAAGGATTATTTTCTAACACACATTATTTTGTACTGAATCAGTTTTATTAGTTAAGATTATTTTTAAAACATGCTTAAAATGAGACTAACTCTTCCAAATTGTAAAGGATTTAGTATTTATATTTTCCTTCACTTTTTTTTCCAGATTAAATTTAGTTTTAGAAAAATTAAAGCTATGAGTTTCACCTAATTACAGTGCAAGCAGTAAGCATAATATCACAATGTGTCTTTTATGAAATCTGTGGAAGGTATTAGAACAAAGATTACCCATAGATACCTTATTTACAGGCATCTAGAGTTTAGGAGTGTCAAAACCTACATTTTTTCATTCTCAGAAAGGTGGCAGTAGTTCAGAGTCAGATACCCATGTATTTCAGTGAAAGCTAAGCTAGAGAACTCAATTTTGCTGCTTAGGCCCATAGACCTAATAGGCACAAATAAAATTAATAATACATATGCATGGCTCTAGAATTCATTTGTCCCTATATTTTTCTTGACAGGTAAATGGAAATTGTGTGCTGTAAGATTTCACCAGCAATAAACCACCTACAGAGGGCTGGCTCTGCTCTGCTGTAGCGAGCAGCAAGGCAGGGTACACCTCCAGGGCTGGGGAATGCATTTCACACAGCAAACACTCAGCCAAGCTGGGAAAGCTTCTCTGTTTGCAAGCGTGGGCCACTCTTCGTGCTGCTGGGGGAGGATTCTGGGCAAGAAAACCAACCAGGAGCCTTCTGGCTCACTACACCCGTGTGTAAAGCATCACCTATGATGGCACGTCCAGACTTCTTCACCTCATAGATAAACACTTGGAATGCTACTTAGCCCCCTAGTTTGTAAAGTAGTACTAACAAGAGGAAAAGCCCTTTCCTTCATGCATTTATAATCAGAGCGATTCAAAAACTTGCTGGAGAAAATCAAATCTTCAGCCTTGTAGGTTAATAAACAAATCAGGAGAAATAACAAATTCCTGCTCGAAGGATAATATAGAACTTGAACATATCTGTAATATGTATCAAACACATTCATACACATCTATCACCTAAGCTGCTCTGTAAATATTTTAGATAAATAGGCTGATAGGCAAAATGGCATGAAGATTAAAAGCAAAACTAAACAAAACTGCGTAAACTCACTTGTTTGGTGTTCTGGTCTGGACAGGATGGAACAAGTAAACTCACTAATGACCTTACCAATAATTGGTGAACTCTTTAATTTGTTTACTCTGCCATAAATGCAGACAGACAGATAGGACAATGCTGGTTTGCCAAGTTTCCTGTTCCTTATAACACACGGGAGAAGGGTAGCTAAAAGAGGAGAGGGCAACATAAGGTATATGGCAGGTCCCTCAGGTACCAGGCTGGGAAAAAGTTGACTATGGAAGGCCAAAAAACACAGCACAGTAGCTTTTTGATACAAGAAAAAAGAAAGAAAGGAAGCCTGAGGAAGGAGGAGGCGAAGAAACCAGAGGGCTCTCTGGGAAGAGATGAGGCACAGTGTTCTGAAAAGTGTCATTATAAACAAATGCTTTTCCATCAGTGCCGACCAGAGCCAGGAGCCAGGTTTGCATTATATTAGAACATGGCTTGGCATCATTGGTGTCCCCTGCTCTGTTACCTCTTTTAAAAGGACAAACTGACAGCACAGTAAAACCATGCTACAGTGGAAGGGAAGAGTCCAGCTGGCTCCTGTGTAAAAGTAAGGGACACACAGGCTACTGACTCTGGAGTTTCTCCTATTAAAAAAACAGCTCTCTCCATTTACTGTGTCTCTATGTCTTTGCTCTCCTATCAGGCATGTTGCTTACCTTGCACAATCAAGTAAACCTGGGAAGTCTTGGGATGATGCTGTGTCTGCACTGAACACGTATAGGACCCCTCATCGTAGACATCCACTTTCTGGATCCGCAGGCTGTATTCCAGGGGGTTTCTCTTCTCCAGCTCTACTCGAGGGTCCAGGGACCACTTGTCCTCTCCAGCAAAAATGATGCCAGAACGGTTTAACCAAGCAACCTTGGAGCTTCTGTCTTCTACATAACATCTGCAGAGGATGAGACAGGTAAGGGGGAGATTAGCAATCCTCTCCATCATCTCCCTTTTGTCCCTTCTCTTTATTGCTTTGCTTAGAAACTTCACAGCACACTCATGCCTTGCCAGTGAGCCATAAAATTTTCTCATCATCGCTGTCCCATGGACAAATATCTAGTGATTTAACTCTTTTCAAGAGTTTCAGGAACCTTTGGTTCATAACACCATGGGTTTTGGGCTAGACATGTCTCTTGTTCTCTCTTCCTTTTGCCTGTGGCCTACACATGCACCAAAAATTAATTTGGAAGGCCACAAGAGATCTTGATCACCAAATCCCTTCTAACAGTGCCAGTGAGAAAGGTTGGAAGTAGCTCTTCCCATGCTTCTCCCTCACCTTCAAAAAGAAGAGTATACAACAGTTGAACTCCCAGACCCCTTCCAGCCTGGAGAGCAAATGTTCAGAGCCCCAGCTTTGTCAGCTCAGAGCACAGCTCCTCCATCCCTGAGTTTCAGCAGCATAAGGGGTATCTCTCATCTATAGCCTTCTGACAAAAAAATAATTTTGTGGAATTATTTCACTGCAGATTTCAGGCTGAAAATGAGAAGCTGTGGGAATGTCACTGCCATCCCTGTGACACACGCAGCATGTCCTGTGAACATCTCAGGTGGACCGGAGAGGAGGAATGACAGCTAGGGGCAGCAAGCAGAGGAGCAGCAGGAGAACCACCCACTGCTATGGCCATGAGTGCCAAACTTCCCAAGTCACTGGATAAACTAACCCCGTTGCAACTGTAACTTGACAACTATTTTGTTTCTTGAGGGAGAGCAGAGTAGCTGCTGTGAAGACAAACGCATTTCTGGCAAATGCACCTAATCTGTACCACTTCCCACCACCAGGAGATCTGCACAGAAAAGACAAGGAGTTGCCACTGAGGAGACATGTCCTGCTCACTCTCAGCTGTGTCTCATTCAAGAGGACCAGCGCTGAAGAAGACAGGCAGACATTAGTTCTCTTTCACCCTGGCAGCAGTACCCCTCAGGGCTGGTTTGCCCTGCTGCAGGTCACATCACATTTGCTCTGCAGATAAACAGGAAGCTCAGTCTCCAGATCGGTTGCTCCTTCACCTCTCAGAGCTCTGCACACAGTGTCCCAGCATCCAAATAACCCAGCAATTCTTGCCACTGCTATTACAGAATCACAGAATAGGTAAGATTGGAAGGGACCACAGTGAGGTCGTATGGTCAAACCTCCCTGCTCAAGCAGGGTCTTCCTAGATCACATTGCACAGGATTGTGTCCTATTCACTATTCATGCATATTGTATTTGTATTTGAAAGAAGAAAGAGAGAGGATAAAGATTATTGCTTCAAGATAAGACAAATATTTGACCGTAGGCTTTGATACAGCCTTTTAGCATGGGTCAGACATTTTCCAAGTTCCTCTATTTGAATGCATTTCATTTATGCTGTGCTGCAGCTGCCTTCCCTTGTGATGTGACCCCACCATTATGGCTGGCATCTCACACCCACTCCCTTCTAGCATGCCCATGGATGCGGTCCAAGATGTTCTGGGGTTACTTGTGGGCAGGAGGAAAGCCAAGCTGCGTGGGCATCCATGCAGCATGCAGCATGCCATGCTGCTGGCCAAGCTGTAAGCAGCTCTGTTTGCTCTGACAAGCATTTGCTTTAGAGAGCAGCTCAACAGATCCTGCCCTTTACTGACGCTGTCCAGCCAAGGGAAGGGGAGTGAGAATTTGGCCTTCAGGCCAGAGCCCACCCTCCTGGCCAGGCAGGCACTTGTCCCTGAGGTGAACTCTCAAGTGTGATCTGAGTTGTTTTCAAAAAGTTACTCTTTGCCAAAAAGAAAGATGAAGGGGAACCTCTGAGCAGTCACTTACACATAGAAACCAGCACCACTATGATGAGGCATTGCTCCAGTTCCATTGGCCATCCCAGGCTGTGATCACCAGTGATGGGAGGTGAAAGCTAGGACCCAGGGAGTGCAGTGTTTTCCAGGGCTGGGCACAGTGGCCCTGTAGGAACACCCACAGAGCTGGCTGCCTCAGGGTCAAGAGCCCTCTTGCAAATGCAAGAGTTGTAACAGCACCAAGAATCAGAGATGGGGTATTTTGGTAGTAAAAAGCTAAGCAGATTAACAGTGGAAGCTGGAGTCAGTGGCAACTGAAGTTTCTCAGTCACTTCTGAAAATCCCCCTGAATAGTTATCAGTGCTGCTGGACTCCAGCAGATCCATGGCACCGCATCAACCCCACCAGGCTGCTTTCCCATCCCCACCAGGCTACAGTGAGCACTCAGCAGCTCTGCCCTGCCCCTGATCATTGTAACTGTCTGTTTGGGGTAGTAAATATGCCCCAGTGTGGTGTCTTGTCAGTAACAGTTCAGTGATGTGGTCTGAACAAAGCCTTGTCCTTTTTGCTCCTGTGGATAGGCTCAACCAGGGACTCTCCCTCCTCTCCCTGGAAGAGCAAATGTGTCATAATCTGTCTTACAAGCATCTAGGTCAGCCCTAGGACAGTGGTCATAGCTATAGTCAGGCAACCTTGCAACTGCCCCGAAATAAGTTAGCCGGTGCTACCAAAATAAAGAAAGGAAAGAGGAAAATGGGAAGAGTAAGTGAAATGGATTTGAGCCCTCTGTTCACCACACCTGTTCCTCTCAAACTGTCAGGAAAAATCAATGTACAAATGTGGAAATTCTAAGTCCTAGCATGCTCTGGACATGCATCCTTGTGCATGATGCATCTTAGTATGTCTGTCTGCACACAAACACACACCCTCTTAGTCTGCCAGAGATGCCACCCAGCTGAATGGATCATGCTTTAATAAGGATTTATGGTGATGATTTTCACAGTGTAATAAGTGCTAATTCATTACTAATAGAATATTAAATGGCATGTTAACTGACATTTTAACTGCAAAGCAATAGGAGCATGGCACCAGCCAGATATCAATGGACTCTTACCGTTCACTAATAATCAATAATCAAGTTCACAGAGACAGTCAAACACTTTTCATTAGGCTTACTGGAAGCATTACCATCAGTGTCAGTGAAAGATAATAAATGATTTGTGATCCATGCATTATTCTTTTCCTTATGGTTGCAGGTTTAATTTCTTGACATCTCCAATGCGGCTAACGAGAGGACCAGTGAATGGTGATGGGCATGCCTTGCATGATCACTGTAAGAACTTGGGAACTGTTGATCTTGCACCATTTCAAACCACAGATATAGAAGGACAACAGATCTTGCTGCCATGCCCTATTAGCCCTCCTTGCCTCCTTGTAAAAAAAGGCTTAGGCATCCACATTTCCTATCCTGGTGATGCAAATCTGGAGATTTCAGTGCCTGTTCTGCCTCACTCAGACCTTGGTGCTTTGATTCCCAGCACCTGTGACTCCTGCTCCTCCTCCCGTCGAGGCAGCGACACTCAGTGCATTGATTTCCCAGCATGTTGCTGTAACACTCATTGCAGTTTATGTTGTGCCTGTCACTCCGGCAGCTCTCGGCCCTAAGCTTTCCGCCCTCTCTCTCCTCCGAGAACAGACGGGCGCTGCTGCTGAGAGGCGGCAGCCTCTCTCTCTTTTTCTGTGCCTGGAAAGCCCCAGCACAGCTTTCCCAGGCTGCCTGCAGCCACTGCCAGGGTGGGGGCTGCATGGGCTGAGGAGGAGGATGCAGGGATCTCAACAATGGGCTTCCCATTCTGCCTCTGAGAAAGCAGCACAGCAGCTATGGCCTAGGCTCTGGAGATGCAGTGGGGGTATTTCATCCCTTTGGGAAGGGATGGATGATATTTAGAGCCTAGAATGATGAAAAGGCAAGAAAGAAACGCTTTAGGAGCTGGTGAAGCTGCTGTTTAAATGATTACTTTAACATGGAGATTTTACAGCATTATCAATGATGTCTGGGGTTGCACTGAAGTTGGGATAATTATTTGGGGTTTTTAAATTGTTGTTGTAATTCCAAATATTTTTTTTTACAGCAGACGCAAATCCACAATTCTCTGCCAGAACCCCACTAGTGAAGAGAAGCAAGCTGCTAGGATTAATGAAATATGCTGTGCTGCTTTGCCAGCAAGCCACAGCTCTTACCTCATTTTGGGGAAAAATAAATAAATAGTGAGTTTATGGACTGCATTTTCTGCCCTCTTTCTCCAAAGCATGTTGTGGTGAAAGCTCTGTGCCACAATTCCCACACTCCTCTTTAATCATCTTTTCTCTGTTAACCCTTTGATCATCTCTTCTGTAACACGATCTCTGTGCATCAGGCCAGAACTCAGCAACCAGCTGCACACACAATTAAGCACCAAAACCCCAGCCACTGCACTCACTGAGGGACATGCTGCCCTTTTGCCAGAGGATGCCACAACCCTCCCTGCATCAGATCTCCTGCCTTCGCCTCAACTCTGTGATGAGTCTTCTCTAATCTTCTCACTTCACACACACTCTTACAAGATCCAGCTAACAACTTCCCCAACTGCCCTCTACCCCCAGCAGCAAAATGGCAAGAGGGAAAAGAGAGAGGGATCAAACAGCTCATTCGGCACACAGCAACATCAGCTCCTGGCTGCCAGCTCCAAACATGCAAGACAAATTCTCCATTGAGTTGAAAAGTATGATCCTGGAAAGCTAATGTGCTGGTTAAACACAGCCTTGCTCCCAGCCTGGGGAGGAAAGTTCAAGAGCAAATCATGCTTATACTGTTTCATCTTGTCTCCTCAAGCTCCTCAGTCCTTCCCTGCCTGGCAAGTAAAAGACTTGGACATAGCCATGGTCAGCCAGGGCAGCAGCAAGAGTCCAGCCTCTCAGCTATGCCCTGGCAGGGATATGGGCAGCAAGGGCCAAGGACAGATGACAGCCATGCCAGCCCTGACCTCCCAGGCAGGGTTTTCAGGGAAGGGTCCAGCCAGGCTTCACAATGCTACTGCAATGCTGGATCCTGCCAACATCTCAAGACCAACACATTGCTGCCACTTCAGTCCCCACCAGAGGAGTACA